GGTTATTTGGTCTGATGAGACAATCTCCACATATCACCACAAGCACACCATCTCTACTGTGAAGCATGACGGTGGCAGCATAATCGTCTGGCCTTGCATCAGAGGAACAGGCCTTTGAAGGCCTGTACACGTAGAGGGGATAATGAACTAAGAAAATTATCAGGAAAAGATTTATTTTCCAGCAAGGCAATGACCCCAAGCATACAGGAAACGCCACACAGAAATGGTTCAGATGGGGCCAAGTCCAAGCCCAGATCTCAGTCCAATTGACAGTTTGTTTAACTACACATTTAATCTCTGTCTTAAGGAAAGATAAAGATGTGCAAGTTCAAGAGCATGTCTCAGTAGTTCAATGTGATAAATGCGTAAAACTATAGTAAAACTGGAGCCTATCCCAGTTATTATAGGGCGAGAGGTGGGATACACTTCTCTAAATTGGGGTAATCGTGGCTCAAGAGTTGGGAGTTCACCTTGTAATCGGAAGGTTGCTGGTTCGAGCCCCGGGGTCGGACAGTCTTGGTCGTTGTGTCCTTGGGCAAGACACTTCACCTACCGCCTACTGGTATTGGCCAGAAGGGCCGATGGCACGATATGGCAGCCTCGCTTCTGTCAGTCTGCCCCAGGGCAGCTGTGGCTACAACTGTAGCTTGCCTCCACCAGTGTGTGAATGACTGGGTGTGTAAAGCGCTTTGGGGTCCCTTGGGGGGACTAGTAAAAGCGCTATACAAATACAGGCCATTTAAATTTCTGATTATGCTCAAAACTAGCTGCACATTCAGAACGTTTCAGACATGTATTTATCTATTTTTAGAAATCATTAACCTCAATTATGTTGCTGTAGAAATCCAGGGAAAACGTGGGGTTGACTCACCTAGGAAGGAATCTCCTAGGAAATAAAAAATACTGCATTATAGGCAGAGGTGGTGCAAGACTGAGGTTTTTGTTAGGGCTGTTCTTAAGCCTTTATCGAGCGACGAACCCTATTTGGTAACTTTATTGTTTTCCCCTCTGCGATTGTGTAGGGACCACACGGCTGTCTCCCATTCAATCAGCAAAGCCCAGGTTATGTGAGAGACAGTGACTGTCACAACCGAGGCAGTCTCAAAAGGAAAAGGACTCAATTTCTGGACGCCGAACAGTACGTAAGTAGTTTCAGTGACAACTTTTATTTTCACCACAAGTGCTCACAACTGGAATTTGAGTTTCACAAATGCAAAATACAACAACTAAACCGAAGTGGTTTATGTAGCCCAAGCTAAGTGAGCAATCTGGTCATTCGTCAGTGGAAAACAGCTGCTCCGAGGTTTGGACTGGAGTCAACCTGGGTCTGGGGAAAGGGTCAGAGTGACTGAAAATAGAGTATAGACATTCAGGTAGGGATCGGGAGGAATATGGGCAAGCTGTGAGTTTTGAATCTTCCTGAGTACTGCTTACTTGCCGCGGGTGGTCTGTAGTGGCGTGGAGGGGTGAGTGGTCCAGGTGTGTGGTCCGAAATTCCTGGCGTTGAGGCAGGCAGGTGAACGGGGTGAACAACCCGTGGGACTGGCAGGTGGTCCAGCGTCCGGATGGGAGCTCTTCGGCAGAGATTTGCGTCCGGCAGCTTGGTGCGTGGAAGGGTTAGCTGAGAATCTGGCAAAGAGAGGTTGAGGTGCGCTGGCCTTATGAGTCCCCGGCTAAATCACCCACAGGTGCGAGCAATCAGCAGAACACCGAGGCCCCTCCCAGGGGTGGAGATGCCGGCTCGGAGGGAGACACACTAGCACACACCCGGACCATGACAGTGACAAAACCGCATCTGACCAATCAGCAGATGGCCTGAGTATTTCAAACTATAAATGTTGAGATACGTGTTTGTATAGGAATTTTAGATCACACAGCTTGCTCAAGTAAAACTAGCACAAGTGATGCAACCATTTTTTTAGTCATACAGCAGATGCAACAAGTAAACCAGGCTTTAGGATTCTTTATTTTTTATTAAGAAATCACACATTATGACTTAGGAGAGTAGTACTCAGTGGTCCATAGGATATTGTGACAGGTTTGTGTATCATTATAAAGTAACCCAGTGAGAAATTAACCCATCTATAGACGTTTTTGTCCTGTAAATAATGAAATGTGTGCGCAACTGTTTTGCTCAGTTTTATGGCCTTATAGCAGTTTTTAATATACTTAAATCGCAGATGTCAGTGTTTGTTTTTACTGTGGGTCTTATTAGAACTATAATTGGTTTGGTAATTCAATATTTCTGATTTTAGTTTTTACTGATTTATAAGAAAAAAGTGGTATCATAAGTAATTATAAAGCTTTTTAATGCTTTGAGTTATACATCTACAATTTAGCCAGAGGCAGACAGAGATGTATCCAGGAGAAAAGCGCCGTCAAGACCTGAGGCCACACATCTGGGCGTGTCATCATCCCATCAGGACAAGAACGAAGGGCCCAGATGGGGTGCCCACAGCCAAAGGGGGAGAGTCCCAGTCAACCTGAAGCAGCCAACCCCGCCAGAGGCCGGCCACCATGGCCCCAGACACCCATGAACCACCCGGCACCAGTGGGAGCTCCCCCGACAAGGAAGAGGTTCAGGCCACCCCGGACCAGCGGCTCCAAGAGAGCGGGTCAAAATCTTTTTCACAAGAGTGTCCTGGCCAAGACAGACAGCAGCCCAATCAGTGGAACTGTAGTTAGTAGCACACACACCAAATCCACACAGGGGTAGGAACCGGCGACAAAAATTAGCAACAAGCAAAAATAATAATAATCTTCATGAATACCTTAGCAAAAGTAACTGTAAGATGTCAGAAACAGATTTAATAATATAATAATTTTATTCAGTACTTTCCCCTCTCTTATAATTTATTTATTCGTTTTTTAGAAAGACGTTTACCCTAAATCAGGGGTGCCCAAACTTTTTTCACTAAGGGCCACATACATAGAAATATAGGAGGGGCTGGGCCACTCATATAACCTTAACTTTACTGTATTAAAGTTAGAAAAATCACTTAAAATTGGTCAAATGTGTTATATTGTTGAATATAATTAAAGACAAAACTGCCTTCATCACAGCTTTCCATAAATGGATCTTTATTGATTTATTCAGAAAAAGCTTTGGTAGCTCATTCTCAGAACAGCAGCCTCAGATTTCTTCTTAGACAGAAGATTTACAGCACAGAGAAAAAAACAATGAAGGGGAAAATGGGACGGGTACATTTCAAGTTTGTTGTTTAAGTTATTAGGCTTAGCAAAACATCTACGTTCGTTTGAAACGATTATCAACATTAACAGACTGAACTGGACTTAATAACAGTAGTGCATATAATTTTAGTAAATTATTCTGGTGAGTATCAGCTGCGCTGGGTATGTAAATCGGGCCATCCAGCTGCGGTGCTGATCGCCATTTGTGGCAAAAATCCGGACAAATGTCACTTGATCAAGGAGCAAATCTGCATCAGATGAGATCAGCTGACTACGTGTGCGTGCGCTGTGCACAGCGGTGTGTACTCTGTGTGTTAACAAAAAAAAAACGCTTATAAGAAAGTGGTGCGCAAAAGCAGGGTAGTGACAGAATTGATGCGCATTATTGATATTTGAAGTGTACCTGCACATGCATGCTTATTAACACACGGGTACTGTGGAATATATATTGTGCTCTCATCTCATGCGATGGAGTAAAAATCAAAAGCACAGCTTTATCAGACAGTTGCAGTTTAATGTTGGCTGACGAGTCTTCAATGCGTCGTACAACTGGATTTCTGGACACGCTGACGTTGTTGAAGTCCTGCACTTTTTCCGGGCAGATTATTTTGGTGACTTTAACGAGGCCGTGTTTTATGAGGTCTCCATCTGAAAAAGGGTTGCCTTGTCTTGCGATGAGTTGGGCGACCTCATAGCTGGCTATTGGAGCCTTTTCCTGGACAATTTGAGCACGAAAAAAATACTGTTGCTGACCCTGCAGGAGAGCTACCCTTTGCTTTAATTTCTGCTCTCGCTCAGCACCAGTGTAGGATGCATAGGCCTGATGTTTGGTTTCATAATGATGTGGTACATTATACTCTTTCATAATTGCCACAGTTTCGGTGCAGATCAAACAGACACACTTCCCCTTGAATTCTTTGAAGAAATATTCACTCTCCCACCGTGTCTGAAATTTTCTGCACTCACTTTCTACCTTTCACTTCTTTGGTTCTGCCATGTTTAGTAACTTGGGGGTAAATTTCTTCTGTGATTGTCCTTTTTGGTGGAGCAACTGCCTTGATCAACAGCGGCCCCCCCTGGTGTTAAAACTAAGAAATGCAATACACTCGAGCAAAAGTTGAAGTGCGTGCCATATTCTATTCTATTTATAAAATTACTTGCGGGCCAATTAAAATGGCCGGAGTTTGGACACCCCTGCTCTAAATGAACAAGGAACCATATTTGGTGACTTCACTGACCTTGACTGGAAACATAAACCTGAAAAATCTTCGAAAAAAGCTTATACAAATAAAAAAAAAGCAACGTCCTTTAATATCATCTAAGAACACACTGGGGTTTAAATTACGGATTTCCAAGTATTTAACAGAATGCTCTAAATGGTCGATACGTTTATAGGTCATCAGCTTAAATGTCTGTTGCCAAAACAATTCAATTATAAACCACCAGGCGGTTTAATTGAAGCCGAAGCAGCCTTTGACTTGCAAATCAGCCAGCTTCATCCTGCATCACCCTGCAGGTAAACATCTCACTAAGAACGAATCAATAAGAGCGACAGAAGGAAGGAGTCTCTCTCCCTCCCTCTCTCTCTGCTACACACACACAGAGACACACGCGACAGTCTGAAGCTTTATAAACAGCAGCCTCTCCTGCTGCTGAGTCGCTTCACACAACTTGTTGCCCACGCTTCAGCCTCTCTCCTTTACTCTAGTGACACGAATGACAGAGAAGCAGCTGCAAACCTCTCATTCTCTCATTAAAACTACAGGCAGGGGGATGCGATAATAACACTGATAATAATAATAATAAAAATGACAGCAGTGTGTGTTTGGCTCTCCGTGGTCCTCTGGATGAGCAGGGCAGCAGCGGGACAGAGAACTAACGACTCTTCACTTTCGGGAGAGGAGATACTTTCTTTCGCGGAGCGTTTCATGAACGTTTCGGGACAGAGAGGGAACGCCAGTTCCGGATTGTTTCTCCTGGACTTTGATGAGGGTCTGCTGGAGGGCTGGCGCTCTCTGGCCAGCAGCGGCGGGGAGTCTCAGGACGGGGGCATCAAGGCGCTGCTTGTGGCAGCCTATTCCCTCATAATCGTGATCTCCCTGTTCGGGAACACCCTTGTGTGTCACGTGGTGGTCAAAAACAAGCGCACCTTGTCCGCCACCAGTTTATTTATCCTAAACCTGGCGGTGGCTGATATCTTCATCACAGTCCTCAATACACCCTTTACTCTGGTAAGACCACTGTGTCTGTGTGTGTGTGTGTGTGCGCGCGTGTGTGTGATGGGTATGGCAGCTCTTATCTTTACACATAAATGTTTTTTAATAACAACATTTGTAATGTCCTGCAATAATTAAACTAAGTCAAATTAGGGGAACCTGCTCAACACTCCGAGCACTGCTCCAAGTACTGTATTAAACTGCTACCAAAAGATGGCGCTAGTGGTGTCATCGCGATGCCTCTCTTTGGGTGGCTGTGTTGTATTATTATCTCATGTGTGAGTGGGGTAGTTACTTTAAAAAACCGCTTCATAGTTGAATGTGTTTTTAGTTGGGAGCTAAACCGTCCCGTGAGGTAGAAAACTGTTTAGAAAAATGAGCATTTAATAGGTTGAAAATGTGTCACTCCTGCTTTGAATCATCCTCGAGCCTGCAAACTCACAGCTGACATTGAGTTTGGGACTTACTCTGAATGCATGAAATGTATTTATTAAAAATGCTATATGCTTTAATCAGACGTGGGCACGTGAATATATGCTAATTGAGTCTCTCCATGCAAAGGATTTTTTTTCTAACAACCTAACCTACTTAGCATTTTTTTCAGTTTGGACTTGTGTTTTTGACATTTGTATAGTGAAACCCCGACCACATGGAGTATTTTTCCCTTCACACTCCTTATATTGTTCAGCAGTAAAGTGCCACGCATATTTGTCACACTTACAAATTTAAATAATCAAACAATAATATTAATATTATATACAGATAACCAGAGTAAACACAAAATGTGTGAAAAGTAATTGCCCCCTAAACCTAATAACTGGTTGTGCCGCTCTTGGCAGCAAGAACTGCAGTCAAGCATCTGCAAAAACTGGCAATGAGACTTCACTCATTGCTGTAGAGGAATTTTGGCCCACTCTTCTTTGCAGAATTGTTTTAATTCGGTCACACTGGAGGACTTTCAAGCATAAACAGCCTGTTAAAGGTCATACCAAAGTATCTCAGTTGGATGTAACTCCAGACTTTGACCAGCCCACTCCAAGTGTGTGCCAGAGTGTTTTGAATCATTGTCTTGCTGCATTACTCAAGTGCACTTAAGCTTCAGGGCACAAACTGATAGCTGGACATTCTCCTTCAGGATTTTTGAACCCTTGTGTTAGTTTTGGTCAACAGTGGGGTTTTTTTCTTCGTAACTCTCCCATGGATGACCCCTCACCTAAACTGAGACAGGTGAGGCTGGCAGTTCTTTAGATGTTTTTCCTGGTTCTTTTGTGACCTCCTGGATGAGTCTTTGATGTGTTCCTGGAGTAATTTTGGTGCACCTGCCACTTCAGCACTGTTCCAGGTTTTCTCCATTTGTGGATAATGGTTCTCTGCGACAAACCCCTAGAAATGGCTTTTTTCAGACTGATAGATATTTCAGATTGATAGATATCAATGATCTATTCACACAGGGCTGGTCAGGTTTGGAAAACCCCTTTTCCTTAATAAATGAAATCACTGTTTAATAATGGTGTTTTGTATTTACTCAGATTATCTTTTTCTAATGTTAAAATTTACTTGATAATCTGAGATCAGATTATCAAAGAGATCACGAATGGGACAAATAATCTTTCAAGGCACTGTAGCTGCAAATGACAGAGAAAGAGAAAGCTTGGTGTTTGTACATTAGTGGGGCTGGAGCCAGAAGCTCCAGTTTGAGGACTGGCATGTGTTATTACGGAGATTTAAAAAAAAAAAAGAAAAAAAAAAAGCTTCACCTTGAAAGAGCCCTCTGTGGCATGCCAGGCAACTTAATATCACTCTCCATTCTTACCTACCCCAAGGATCACTAAACAACTCCTGCCTCACACACCCTCACCCCACCTTCTCTCTCTCTCTCTTTCAGACAGAGTTTCTTTCAGCACTTTTTGAAATAGAGCACTTAGGCTATTTAGAACATTTGATCATGTGTGCCGAAAAATCTAACACGATGGCTGTATCCTGCATGACCTGCACAGCATGTGTCACTGTAACTGTGATAATAAAGACTAGAAGAAGCAGGAGCACACCTCAAGTGGGGATGTCTGACAGTGCAGGCTATAACTGTAATCTTGTGTTACAGCTGCGTCTAAAATTTCTCTCATCTTTGCTGACATTTCCTCACCTGAATCAGAACAGTGTAAAGGGTTGCTATGCTATGAAAACCTCCAATGGAAAAAATCTATAACAAAGCAAAATGTTCCCCACATGACATACACTATTTTTAGGGGTCTACACTGAACTGCAAGCAAATTACTAATAATTCTGATTTGTCTCCTTGGTGCACTAGTATTGCAGAGCTGTTACTTAGAGTTAAGGCTTATTGTTGCTGTGGGAACTAGAGTATGAACATAGTTAGCTCATGTCTGTTTAGTGGCTGCTAATCATTATAATCATATAACATGGCTGCTCTTAGAGTACTTCTCATTTTTGCAGTTTTAAAAGTTGACGTTCCTCCCAGTGTGTCTACCTGATGAGAGTGGGTAACCGTTGACATTTCTCATTTTGGCCTGCCCTGTGTTTGTGCACTCCTTTAGGTCCGCTTTGTGAACAGCACCTGGGTGTTTGGAAGAACTATGTGCCACATCAGTCGCTTTGTACAGTACTGCTCACTGCACGTCTCCACCCTCACGCTCACTGCCATCGCACTGGACCGACGACAGGTTTGTCTATAAGGGAGTTGGGGGGATGAATCTGTGCAATTTTTCAAATTTTAAGGATACTTAGGAGCTTCAGAGAGTCTGTGTGAGTTCTATGATGCACAAAAGCAATGGTAAAACAGCAGCAGTTGGTGAAAAGTATTTGAGTATAAAGCATAGTAAAGACAGAAAAGGATATGCTGGGAAGTCACCATTTTCATATTGTCAGCACATGAGATAATTACTCCACTTTTATTATGAATGGTACTTTAGGGTGCTCCCCTATTCCCCAAGTGGTAACCACAGTCGATGGATTTGCATATTTGATTTGGAACAGACTTCCTGCTGAATGGCCTTCTTCACAAAACCTTCAAATGTTTCTGGAATCAACACTAAGAGTACACTAGTTTGTGACCCCATGAGGCTCAGTTTGTGTCTCAGTCTTTATTTTTATTTGTTTTTATTTTATTTTTATTTTACTTGCTATAATAAATCAAAGAAGCAGACAATAAGGTTTATCTATAAAGGGCAATTTGTGTGTGTGTGTGTGTGTGTGTGTGTGTGTGGTATTTCTATTTTTTCAAACTGTAATGTTTATTGAACTTTCTGAATAAAAAAAGTCATTTTACATATATGATTTTTATTTTGTACTGTCCTTGCTATGTTTGGAATTTTGGTGCAATTATTAAGGTTTTTTTGGGGGAAAAAAAATCACACTGACGATATAGAGGTCTTGAAAGCTTACAAAAAGAAATGTATCAAATTTTATATACAGTGGGGCAAAAAAGTATTTAGTCAGCCACCGATTGTGCAAGTTCCCCCACTTAAAATGATGACAGAGGTCAGTAATTTGCACCAGAGGTAC